CGCTCTTCCTCTGGGTGACTCCTTGGGTTCTCCAAGAACGAGGCACCAGTTCAGAGCACAGTGATGCAGATGAGAACACATCTGCCTGTCATGGCCTGGGCTCCATGCTCCCCATGGTGTGGCCATGTTACCTGTGGGTCTTCCACCCACTCTCCACTTTGGCAGGTGACTCCTGTCCTGCCCTGTTGATGGTCAGTGGCTGGTTCTCTCCCCAGAGCTTCCTTGGTTCCCTGTCATGGTTCTTTTGGGTCCTGATTTCATTGTCCCTTCCTAGCTCCTTTCACTCACAGGATGATCAGGCAGGAATGGTGTGTCTTGAAGCACCCAAGTGGTGGAACTGCTGGCTCCAGGCTCCAGGCAGGTCACTGCTGACCCTCTGCGCTGACTCTGCTGTGATGGTGCAGGGGGAGGGCAGGGAGGTCCACTAGGTGAGGTGTGGGCATCACCAACCTGTGTCAGTTCTCAGCCCTCACTGCGCTCTTTCCGCAGCTCTCTCACCCAGTGTGTCATGGCCGCGTGCTTCCTGGCCAGCGTCGCAGTGAGAGTGCTGATGTCTCAGTTCCAGAGACGGCCCTCTCGGCGTCTGGACTTTGGAAGTCTTTGGCCTCCTAGGGACCGTCCCATTCAGCCCCGCTGCAAGCTCCTTGCCTGGGCTCTTGTTACCCTGGCCTTCTCTCCCTTCCTGCCTAGGCCAACTCTGCCTTCTGAACTTGGCCTTTGGGCTCCTTGATCTGGGAGGTAGCCTCAGCCTTGGGAAGCCCCATTCCTTCCTCTCAGAGTTGTGGTTCCATTAGTGTCGTGGCCTGTTGTGGCCACAGGCCCCTGCCCCACTCTGCAACCACCCCTCAAATATTGCTGTTCCTCAGGGCAATGTGCCTTGCTGTCCTACTAGGTGCTGCCCATGGGGTCCCTGAGTGAATTTATTCATTTGTTAAATACTTATTGAGCACCTCCTGTATGGCCAGTCACTGTAGATACAGTGATGGTCCAGAGTTGGTGCAGTCTGTGCATCCATGAATCCGCAGGCTGGAGGTAAGATGTACATTAGTCAAACGCTCACACAAAGGAGTGTGTGTTTATAAACTGAGGTAGACAAGAATTTGATTTGTAAGAGCACTTATCGAGGAGGCTTACCTCATCTGCATGGTCAGGGAAGGTGTCCCTGAGGAAGTGATGTTTTGAGCTGAGGTCTGAAAAGTGACCAAGAATTAATTGTGTAGGGGTGGGAGGAAGAGAAGAGCAGACGGGGCAGATGGGTGGGAGGAAATGCGTGTGCAAAGGCCCTGAGGTAGGACACAGCATGGTGCTTTCAAAAGCTGAAAAGGAGGGTGATGTGGCTGGAGCGCACAGGAGGGAGGGTGGGAGTCCCAGGCCGCACAAGTTTTATCTTATTTAGACTTCTAATTAAGATTAACATTTGCCTATTGTAAGTGTTACTATCTGATAAGACAAATCCTAGATTTTTTTCCTTTTATTATCAACTATTATATATGTATTTATATATGTATATACACACAGAGAGAGAAAAGTACAGATACACACACACATCACACAAAGTTTAACAAGTGAATTATAAAGCAAATTCCTGTGTGACCCCAGCAGCTACAGGAGCTATACTAGGCTTTCGAGCAGGAGTGACAAGATAAGACCTGACAGGGTGGCCAGGGGGACTTGGGGAGGCATCTGCATCTTCCTGGTGAGGCAGGTTCAGGTTCAGGCAGGTTTGTGGCTTGGAGCATGCGCTGGTGGGAGAGGAGGAGCTGAGGGGACGGGCCGGCCGGCCCCCGGGTCTGCTGGTGGGCTTAGATGGCTGAAGGAGCCCATCGAGGGGACCGCTGGAACAGGGCTGGCCAGCTGAGCTGGGTGGAGTAGGAGCGTGGTTTGGGGACCCTAGGCGGGGCATGTCTTGGACCCCGTGGTAGTGCTCTCCTGGACAGTGGGGTGGAGAAGCTGGGCCTGGGCAGGCAGGGCTGAGGAGGCAGCTCCGGGAAGACAGCCGAGCACTTCCCTCCCCACTCCTGGCCCCAGTGTGGAGCGCAGCTGGGAGCAGCCGGGGCGCCCGCCAGCCGCACTGTGTCTTTAAGAGGCCCCGCATCTCTCCTTCCTGCCTCTGACGTCACGGGTAGGGGAGGGCCGAGGAGATTTGCTTTACTTTTCCTGGAGCGGGGAGGAGATTGAAACCGAGTGGCCTCATGATGGAAAGGGGAAGTCCGGGGGTGCAGGAGGCCCCTAAGTGAAGGTGGAGGCTAACATGGGGTGAGCTTGGGCGCCATACTGTGTGTCAGAGACAGAGACAGAAGAGAGAGAAAGAGAGAGATTAGAGATCCGTGGTGGTGGCCCTACAGTTGAGTGCTATTGATTGCGTGTGAACGTGGGCTTGCGTATCTACATCCCTGGGTCAGTGGAGGGTCTGGGAGGAGCCTGTGGGTGAGGAGCAGTGACAGACTCCTCTGGTTACGCAGGAAGGTACCTCCTGACGGTCCTGTCTTGGGGCCTTGTTCTGGGCCTCACAGTGGCCAATGGCTCCTATTTTACGAATGCAGTCAGGTATTTTGAGTCTGGAGTGTGAAGGGTCTGTCCTTAGTCTGTCCCAAAGCTGTGTGCCGGGCCTTGCTGAGCTTGTGCTGCCCATCTGGGCTGTGAGATGGAAGACCCTCCACCCAAGGCGGGGCGAAGGGGGGTGCCCAGCCTTCCCCCAGGCCTCAGGGGAGGCGAATGCCTAAAGCTCACCAAGCCCCTTCCACATTTTGATGTGCTTGGTGCAGTTGCCTTTTACTGGCACACTGCTTGGCCTCGGGGAACAGGGGAGGACAGCTTGGGGCTGTGGCTGTGCCCCTGAAGGTCAGCTTTGGTGAACTTCCCACCCACGGCCTGCGTTCTCGGGGCGCGGGCTCTCCACTTGGTCCTGGTCCTTGCTGAGGGGCCTGCGTGGGCAGGAAGGCGGCCTCTTCCAGAAGGCAGGGCCCCTCCAGCCCCGCCTGGCTCTTAGTTTACCCACCTGCCCTTCTGGTCAGAGCGAGGGTGTATGTGGACACCTGGCACAGTGCTTGGCACCCAGTAAGCTCACTGTCACTCTGGGGGCCAGCAGCCCTACCCTGGGCTCGCTGCGTGCCTGTCTTCACTGTCCTGGCCACACCAGCCTCCCCTTTCCTGGAACTTCTCCCCGTTTTCGTTACCTGTGCTTCCTGAGTCATTTTCCCTCAACACCTGCCTCTTCTAATAATCTGTGGTCTCCCAGAGGCCATGAGTTGGTCTGTCTCGCCCACCTCTGAGTTTTGGTTCAAGCCACACAGTGCCTGGCTTGTGGCGTGTACTTGATGGGCATCTGCTGCTGGCTCGGTGGGGTAGACAAGATGTGTGTATGGGGGAGGCACCTGAAGAACTCTCTCCCATGCTCCTTAGAGTGTGGCCAGTCCTCACCTGGACTCTCAGGAAACCCCATTTTACACTTGAGCAAACACCTGAGGCTGAAACAGATTCAAGCTACATACCCCAGAGGTTGCTCTGTGTTGCCCAGAGTCTCCTCTGGCAAGGGGGGTGCACCTTGGGAATGGGTGTGGTGTGGACTGCTGGTCCTAGATAGGGGAGAGAGGCCCTGGGCCTTGACTGGCTTTTTGGCAGGTTTGGAACAACTGTGGCCGTCGGACTGACCATCTTTGTGCTCTCCGTTGTCACCATCATCATCTGCTTCACCTGCTCCTGCTGCTATTTGTACAAGATGTGCCGCCGACCGCGTCGTAAGCATCTCCAGCCCACCTGCCCCACTGTGACCCCTTGTGTGAGGGTGCCGACCCCAGGTGGTGGGCGTGGTTTACCAGGGGCCTGATGGAGCTGAGCTGGAGGGAGGGGTGGCAGGCCTGAGGGTCCTAACTGGTACTCTCTTTTCAGCGGTCGTGACTACCACCACGGCCACCACAGTAGTGCACACCCCTTACTCGCAAGCTCCAAGTGTGCCGCCCAGCTACCCTGGACCAGCGTACCAGGGCTACCACTCCATGCCCCCCCAGCCAGGGATGCCAGCAGCGCCGTACCCCACGCAGTACCCACCACCCTACCTGGCCCAGCCCATGGGCCCCCCTGCCTACCATGAGACAGTGGCTGGTGAGTACCCCTACTGATTCCAACTGTGCCAGACCCCCTGCAGCCATGCCGACGGCCAACCAGTGTCCTCTCTATTTTCAGGAGGTGCAGCCATGCCCTACCCTGCCAGCCAGCCTCCTTACAATCCAGCGTACATGGACCCCCCGAAGGCGGCCCCCTGAGCACAGCCTTGCATCTCTGGCTGCCACTTGATCTGTCATGTGTGTGTGAATGGGTATGCAGGCACGGTCCTTTTCTCCCTGTGTGTGGTATGTGTGTCCTGTTTGTACACGAGGCTTCTTGTGATGCCAATGAGGGGCTGGGAACAATTCTTGCCAGAGTTGCTGGGACCACACTTCGTTGCCTTCCTCACTCGAAATTATGCTTCCTGAAATCTCAAGCAAAATTCAAAGAACAGTTCTTTTCTAGACCACCCCAGGGAGAGCAAGTGGGGCTTGTCACACTAGGATAGTACAGACTTTTGCCGGCGGGATGCACATGTGTTCCAGTTTCTGCAGAATGGCTAGCCATTGCTCAAGGCCATGGCTTGTCCCCAGGCTTGTCTTTGAAGAACCTGAGGATGATGCAGGCAGGTGGGTGAGGCTTGGGAACTGGCTACAGGTGGGTCTCAACCATTACCCATAGCTCCCTGAGCCTGTGCCATGCCCAGTGGAGGGTGGGCAGCTTCCTGATATCAAAACACCTCAGGCAGAACCCCACCCTCCCCTGAGAGCTGTCTGCCTGGTCTGTGTTCTTGCATCCTTCCTAAGACCACCTGGAGGGCCACATTTACCCTCGGTTCTGGCTGCCCTGGTTGGCTCTGGCCGCCACCTTAAGTGGGCAGGGTGGCCTCTGTCCACCTACACACTCAGGTGTCCTCCCTGCAGTGTTTTTGTTTTACTTTTAGCTAAGTATTTTGCCTGTTTTCTGTTTCAAAATGTGTGTAATAGTTGCTGTGAGGCTGAAACCCCTGGGTCCTGGAGGAAAATTGCCCCGGAGAGCAGAGGAACTCTGATGTCTGATAGTCCCTGCTTCCCCAGCGCCAGCCTCACAGGCTTTCCAGCTCCAGTACCCCAGGCCACAGTTTGTCTCGGCAGTGGGGACGCCTGGGCCAAGGTGTCATCTGGACCAAAGGTGGAGGGGACCCTTGGTGGCTGCTCTTGGCCCAGACACATACCTCGCTGTTCCCTATCCCTCCGTTAACGTCTCACCACATAGTAGCTTTGTACCTGTTGATGTGTTTTGGAGTCTAGGGTCTGCACCCTTGTTTATAATAAATCCAACTATTTGGAGCTGCTGTCTCCTTTCTTGGCTGCTGGGATTGGGTTTTAGGCTAGGTATCATTTCCATCCAGTATTTGAAGTTCCTTGTTTTCCCTACTTTTATTGGGCTCAGACGTCTGACCATCCTGCTAGGGTGGGTGATGGACAAAGACTGCCACTTCCTGTGCCCCCGGCCCCAGGTGTCTCAGTGTGGGCAGACGTGCGGGAGGCTCTCAGGCTGCCACGGTGGGTAGAGGTGAGTGATCACTCGGTGCTGTGGAGGGTCTTTATTAGTCAGAATTTCCTTCTTGGCCTACTGCCCGGGTATGGCCAAGGACAGCCTATACAGCGTGGCTACTGCTAGGGTCAGGAAGGCCAGCAGGCCCAGTGGGGCCAGCAGTCCCTCCCTGGGTGGGGCTCCAGGGCTCTTCACTGGGGAAAGGGGCTTAGGGTTCCTGTTTCCACCACGGTTGGGGCTGGTGCCCCTGGCTCTGGCCAGGGGTACAGTGGCCGTAGCAGCAGATAGCCTTGGGCTGGTTCCAGTCAAGGCTGTGACCATGTACATCGGCTTGACGGTGCTGAAGGGCCTGGCGTGAGCATCTACCCACCGCAGCAGGGCCTGTGGCCTCCACTGACAGATGCTGAGCAGGGCTAGGACGTCACCCTCGGCTGTGTGTGAGTCTGGTGGGGCCTGCCCGTACAGGCGCATGTAGATGCTGCCCAGGCTGTAGCTCTTCCTTGGGCCATGCTCTGAGGGGCTGTCAGCTTGCTCCAGGGCCTTCAGGGCAGCAATGCTATCCACACAGAAGGCGCCCTCCAGAGCACTGGCAAGGCCCAGCACAGCCAGCTCTGCCTGGAGCAGGGGGAAGTCGTAGCGGTCACCGTTGTGTGCCACGAGGCACCAGGGCTGTGGTTGGCGCTGCAGGAAGGCTCGGAGCATGTTGGCCAGGTTGGCATCGAAGCATTGACGCCCGTGTGCAGCCAGCACAGCTGTGCTCAGGCCTGTGATCTCACTGGCTGCAGGGCTACAGGCCTTCCCCGGAGCCACGCACAGGGAGAGCTTGTCCAGCACCCGGGGTGGTGGGGGCACTGTTGAAGGAGGCCCCTGAGGGGTGGGAAGTCTCTCCAGGGCCCATCTGTGGATGGCCAGCAGGCATAGCTCTGTGACCTTGGGCTGGGAGAAGGGCAGGCCAGTGGCCTCCAGGTCCAAGAAGATGAGGGTCTGCACAGGACCCGGGGGCAAGGCCTGCGAGCCCATGCTGGGTATCTGCCGCTGCGCCTGTGGAGGAGCGTGGGGTGGGTGGTGGGTGTGTGAGTGCCCAGTGATAAGAGGTAAGGCAAGTGGGGTGGGGTGGGCAGGAGCACCCCTCTGGCCTTCCCTGCACGGGCAGGCACTGTTGCTGAGCTCCAGGACCCATTTCCAGGGCAGGAAGCCAGGGAGGGTGGGGTGGCTTTCTTAGTGGGACCAGCACACTGTTTTCTGTTCAGGGGAAGGCTTGGCTCCTCCCCCTAGTGCCCGCTTAGTCCGGTGAGGGTTGGTGGGTCAGGTACCCATGGCCCTCCCGCCCTACCCCCTCCCGCCCTACCCCCTCCCCTCGGGGGTCCTCACTTACCGAGTAGCAGCAGGCAGCAATGACTCAGGGTGCACGCTCTCCAGCTGGTTCTTGCTGCTGGCAGCAGTGGCGGGAAGTGAAACTCAGCCTGAGCCCGCCCAGCGGCTGGTGTGAGCAAGGCCCGCCCCACTTGTCAGCCTGCCTGGGCTGTCCCTCCTGCCAACACCTGTCCCTCCCCAGGCACCCACAGTGCTATCCCCAAAGGCCTTCTCAGACCTCTTGCTGTGGGCCTGCCGGCTGGCACAACACACCAGGGCCCTCACGCCCTCACACCGGGAGGACAGCGCTATGGGGCAGGCTAGCTCCAGGACTTGGGCCTGCTGGGAGCCCCTGCCGTGGCCATTTTGCACCCACCCCTTGGCCCCATTTTCCCAGGCCTCCCTGGTTTAGGCCTGGGCTGAGGGCCACCTTCTTCCCTGCCACACAATGGTTTCTTCCCATGGCCTCAGGCGAAAGTGATGACTCCGGACAATTCCACAGGCAGGGCAGGGCAGGGCAGGGCTCCTTCCTCAAAGCAGATTCATTACCATGGGGCTGCTGGCCAGGAACAGGAAGAAGGATCTCAGCCTTCCCTGGGTTCCCCCTCCTGCTCTGTCCCTCCCACTTAGCCGACACAGATCAGACTCAGGAAACATAAGGCTGGCCTTTTCTTTAACAGCCTGTCACTGCTTTTAATCAGGGGATGAGGTAAGGAAAGTCGTGGTGTTGGTGCCACCATGTGGCTCGATGCTCACAGGCCTCAGCCACAGTCCATCTCGGGGTCGTCCACATCAGCCTCCGCGGCACAGAGATCATCCAGGGCTGCCTCTGAGCCAAAAACAAGAGGGTTCTGTGGTGAAGTCCTGCCTGAAGGTGCTGGGACTGGGGGAGGTCCCACCTTTCCTCCCCACCAGGCCCACAGGAACTAGGCAGTCCCTTCCACGCCCAGGCCTTGCTCCCTCAGCTACTGCAAGCAAAATAATACAAAGGCAATTCAGACAGGGATGTTTCTGGAAAAGCCGTGGCTCTGCCAGGCCGACTCAGTAGGTATGAGTAAAAGGCAGGCTGATATGCTGAGAGAAGAACCGGACAGGGAAGAAAAAAAAATGGCCCCTGTGCCGGCAAAGGCTGTGTGGATGGAGTGTTGCTGACCTAAGGCCAGGTCGTCTGATTTGTCCATGAACTTCAGGGCAAACTCCACATGTGGGCTGGGGCAGGGAGGGGCCCTCCTGCAGGCTCACCTTCACAGCCTGTCACGTCAGGAAGCCCTCGAATCAGCATGCTGACCCCTGGCATCACCTGGTCGTACTGATGCAGGACCTCCACGCAGTGCACAGTGAAAAGCTTGTCCTTTTGGGACAGACTGTGCAGCAGCAGCACTGTATCTCGCAGACACCGCACCGTCCGCTTCTGCTGGTCAGTCCTCGGGGGCCCCCCTGCCCTCCGCACAGTCAGCCACTGTCTGTGCAGCATCACCGTGAGTGCTCTGACCACCTGAGGGAGGGCGCAGGCTGAGGTCTGGTCAGGTGGTCCCTGCACCCTGACAACCTGCTTAGCTGGGCAGCATCTTTCCTAGCCACCCGGGTGAGGAAGGTTCTGAGCAGTGGCACCAGGGTCTAGCCCTGGTGAAGGAGCATGGGATGCTTTCACAGGGCCCTGTCATCCACCAGCAGAGCTGCCCTGCCTGCCCCCGGCACTCACCTCCACGTTGCACTGGCAGCTGGAACCAGTGACTGGGGAGGAGGGGCTCTGCACAGCAAGCTTAGCCAGGAGCCACACAGCCTAGAACAAGAACAGACTGTCCCATCCATGGCACAGTGAGGCCCTGGTCACAGTGAGGGCTTTCTCAGCCTTCTACAAGAGCTCCAGTTGCCTCAGCAACTGCTTGTCTGCACTAATGGGATCCAAGAGGTGGTAGTGTTTTGGGACCTTCCCAGGAGACACTCAGGACCAACACCTGTGTCTCACCACTGACCCACCTTCCTCCGTGCCCACCTCCAGCCACCAGGCAACCTTGCCAAGTCCCAGGATACCCTGGGCTCCAACTGTACTGTATCTGTGTAGTATGGAGCCCCCCAATGAGTTTACCTTGCTAGTGGCTCAACGCGTTACCAAAATGAATTAAAGCTTCCTTTAATTCCCAGAGGAAGGAGAAGAGTGGCTCTTACGTGCGGTGGGGTGCGGTGGGGTGCGGTGGGGTGGTGAGCAGCACAAAAGGGGCTCTGGTGTCTTTACCTCTTGTTCCAGCTGAAGCCACTGTGTCTCCGAGGCGGCTTTGTCAGGCCTTGATGTGATGTACATGTACAGAAGCAGCAGGAGGCAGCCTTCTGGAAAGGACACACCACCTCTCACTCAGGATCCGCCTTCTCACCCAGTGCCTGAGGTGAAAGCTGCAGAAGCCCTCAGGAGGCCCTGGACCTGCCCCTGCCACCACCCTTCCCTCCAAGCTGCAGGAGTCCAGATGCGTGCCCCCGGCCTGCTTTACCCGGGTGGGAGCAGAGCTGAGGTGCAAGCTTCTCATGGTCCACCAGGAGGGACAGGAGCTCAATAGTCAGCAGCACACTAGGCAGGGGTGTCTCTGGGCGCAGGCACCGTGGCAGCACCCGGAACACACACTGGAACCTGAAACACAGGGCCCCAGAGAGACGTGACACCTCCAACCCAATCCCATAACTCACCCTCACCTTTCACGGTAGGCAACAGGAAATTGAAGAGGCCAGTAAAAAGGAGACTCGATTCAGACAGACCTGAGTTCAGATGCCACCCTACTTGCTGATACTTGTTTCAGGTGAACGAGTGGGTACTACCCTTCACTGTGGGACTGCTGTGAGGGACAGGGCCTATCATCCCTTAGAGATGACAGGCCCTTAACTGGCACAGTGCCACCCAGCAAATACGAGGTGCCCCCCTGGACCTCGGGTGCCGGCCCCCACACTACTCTTGGGCTCCTTCCTGCCTCTGCTCCCAAACAGGGAGGCAGGTTCAACTTGAGTGTGAGAAATGTCCTGTGCCCACCACCAGAGGACTGGCCAGGCATCAGCAGCAACAATGTGGACTTGGCTATGGTTGGATCTTATGAGACCATTCGCTGGGCAAGGAAGACTTCATTTTCCCCACTTGTCGGGAAACACCAGCTCCTCTGCCGCCACGTATGAGAAGGTATGCACTCAGGGTGTGCATGGTGAGGGGCTTGGGCACTCTCGCCCTGGTCTTGGGGGCAAAGGGATGGCGCATTCATTACCAAGGAACTGAGTCCAAAGACAAGCACTGCTTTTTGCTCAACCCACACAGCCTTGTGGGTGGGGGGAGGGGCAGTTCTGCGGGTATGTCCCTTTTCATGAACACGGCACCGAGGGTTAAGAATATTCCTTGTACACCATTAGGAAGCAAGGTCTTTTTGGGGCGAACTCATTTTAGAGCAAATCCTGTATGAGAGACAAGCTGAATGTTTCTAGTCACCAGGGAGTGTGGAACTTTGTGGGAAACTGGAATTTAACCAGTTACTACCTAATTTCATTATTAGGCCAGAAGTGTCCCCTGAAACTAAAAAAATCCATCTTTATATACAACACAGTGGTTTCCAAATTATTTTTGACAGCATCAGAGCCGCCTTTTTAAATGAAAATTTTTTTTTTTGCACAGCCCCTAAATGCACAATAAATAAGTCATGCTTCCTTGGTTGAGCTGGGGATGAGAACTTTTTGTTCAAAAGCGCCTGCCATGCCAGTACCTGGGGAGCTACGCTGGACCTACCCCTAAAACAGATGCAGTGGGAAGACAAGAGTCTGAGGGGATGATGTGCCCTCAAGCCTGGGTGGGCAGTGGTGCCTTTCATAGGAGATCACAGCCTGCCTGGCTGCTCATGTTGTATTGTATACTGCTATGGAGCCTTGGTAGCACCTGTCCCTGGCTTTTACTTCAAGGTGAACAAGAAGATGTGTGGTAATGGGGTTCAGCCTGCAAGCATGAAGGAATTCAGAGAAGCACTGTGTGGGAGGTGGCATCAGACAGTGATCAAGAACAATGATTCAGGAGCCTAACTGGCTGATCTAGCATACTCCCTCTGGGGTTTTCAGACAAGTTTCCCTACCTTAACATGGGGTTTATTCATTCAACAAACACTGAGTGCTCACAGTGAGTCAAGCTCTGTACTGGGCGTGAAGACAACAGGGCTCTGAGGGTGCCATCCAAGCTAGTGAACAGAAGGCATCTGTGTCTGGCCTGCAGTAAGCACCCATTAAATGGCTGTTTTTTGATGTTATTGTGGACAAGCTCAACAGGAACAGAATGATGATATATCTACCAAGAGAACTGCTAAAAATGTGGTTCCTGGAATTCATTCATTAAAAAAATAAGAAACAGGGATGCAAAGATTTTTCAATATCCACATATCAATCAATGTGATATACCACATTAACAAACTGAAGAATAAAAGCCATGTGATCATCTCAATAGATGCAGAAAAAGCTTTTGACAAAGTTCAACATCCATTTAAGAGAAAAACTCCAGAAAGTAGGCAAAGAGGGGAACATACCTCAACATAATGAAGGCCATATATGAAAAACCCACAGCTAACATCATACTCATTGGTAGGGACTTTCCTGGTGGTCCAGTGGTAAAAAATCCACCTTCCAAAGCAGGGGATGCAGGTTCGATCCCTCGTCGGGGAACTAAGATCCCACGTGCCTCGGGGCAAGTAAGCTTGTATGCCTCAGAGAGCCCACATGCTGCAAACTACAGAGCCCACACACTCTGGAGCCTGCACGCACAACTAGAGAAGAGAAAACCCACATGCCGCAACTAGAGAGAAGCCCACATGCCACAAT